AAACGAAGTTGAATATTGATGCAAGTACGAATTAATCAAACATTTATAATTAATTTACAAGATCAAATTGTAAATGTATTAAATAGTACTTAAGATTTTTTGTTTTGTTTTGTGCATGATATTACAATTAATGTTATCTTAGACCGTATTTTATTTTTTTTGTTAATAATTATTTTTATTGAATAATTATTTATTTATTTATACACACAACCATAATTATTATATATTTTTATTTGTGTTAAAAAATATCATGTTACAATTATAAGGTTAAATTTGTTATGCATATAGCTTTAGTATATTCGGTAGCAATATTTATCAAACGATGTTATTATATTCGGTACTTAATTTTTAGTAAAACTCGTCGGTTTAAAATTCAAGTACTTAATTATTTAGCACTTAAAATTCGAGTACTTAATAGATTCAGCACTTAATTTTCAGCTTTATCAAACACCACCTATAAGTATGAACTTTCTCTAAGGTTAAAAAATCCATCAAATTAAAACTAGAAACTAATCAAATTCAATTTCGAAAAGCAAACCCAAGAAAAATATAGTAAAGCAAAGTTAAAATCACAAGTAATATAATCCTTAAAATGTTATAGTTCCATTGATAACATTAGAGAATAAAATATGCATGACATAAATGAATATAGGAGGGCAAATGAGAATCTCACCTCACATTACACCTCAATGTACGCTTGATTTGGATCCAAATTGTGCATTTTTCTCTTCTCTTCCGTTTGCTCTTTGATTTACTGTTGATTTGGATCCTTACCCATTTAGAATGTCAAAAGTTTTGATTTCTCTATAGAAGATTAAGGGGCTAGCTTTTGATTTTTTGTAGTCACTGTAAAAATCTTAAGCGCAAAAAAAAAAAAAAAAAAAAAAAAAAAAATTATGACATGACATCTGAATTTTATGGAGTTTAGAGTAACTTATTAACTACCAAAAATTACTCCTAAAATAATATAAAATTTCTTGTCTTAAAAAAGTGAGATCTAAGCGTTTCGACTTTTCTAGCGGATGATCAGTTATAATTTTCTCTGCCTAGCACATGAACAGGTTTCATTTCTAGCCTTAAGAACGTCATTGGGTTCATTGTACCAAAAAAGAACAGGGCAGCTCGCTCGTAGGGTTTTCCATTTGCCGTGTTAGGTAAATCTTGGAAGTACTAGCTAAATGGGTTGAAACGAAAAAGTAATACTAGTGAACTGGATCAAAAGATATTGTTGGGTTTCTTAGACCCAAATACAAAGTGAGCGTCTACCCGTAAATTCTTTGTTCATCTCCTCTACTCGGCCCAATGCCTACCAATGTAGCAGCTGGTTTGCTTGTATTCAAAGTTGAAACCTGATCAACACGACATCAATGTGCTACGCAATATGTCATTACCCCTCCATCCCACCACCATATCCTCTAATAAATTGCACCTCCCGAGGCAGGCACAAACACCAAAACCAATCCTTATATCCCTTCACCAATCTCTTACGTACATGAAGCCATAACGATAATGCTCCATGTACCTATCCACTTGCCTCTTCTTTCCCTTTATATATTTCCCACTTGCCTTTCACCCTTAAAACACTCTCATATACGTTAAACACCATTCAAGAAAGAATAGTATTGCTAGAAAAACAGACGAGTAATGGGACATGCAACTTATGAAAATTACTATGCACCGTCCGATATGAAGACGTTTGGCTATGATGCTCCTGAAGGAGTTGAGATTAGAGGCAGATATGATGGAGAGTTTGCAAAGATCCTTACCAAGGATGCTTTGCAATTTGTTGCTGATTTGCAAAGAGAGTTCAGGAACCGCATCAAGTATGCAATGGAGTGTCGCAAGGAAGCCCAAACGAGGTACAATGAGGGGGCTTTGCCAGGATTTGATCCAGCTACAAGGTATGTCAGGGAAGGGGATTGGACATGTGCACCTGTCCCACCAGTTGTTGCTGATAGGAAGGTGGAGATTACGGGGCCAGTGGAGAGGAAAATGATCATCAATGCACTCAATTCTGGAGCTAAAGTTTTCATGGTCAGTATGGGAGTACTTGTAATCATCTAGTCTTGGAGAGTCACTAATTTCTAAACATAATATTCTTGAATGATTGTATGCATGATCATATAGGGAAATCCAAAATATCTAAATGTTCAGCCGAAAATGAAAATTAATTGTTGCAATTTGGAGATATCTCCATTTTGACAATGCTTTAAACAGAAGTGAAAGTCTCATCCTGCAAATTATTGCCAGTGATAAATCAGGCCAACGAAAAGCAATAGAAAATAATTGAACCAAATATATGATTAATGTTCTTTAAAATTTAAATTCATGCAATTTATAGTTCTTTCAAGATATAGAAACTGAGAATCTAGTTGATTTTATAGGCGGACTTTGAAGATGCACTGTCTCCAAGTTGGGAAAACCTTATGAGAGGACAAGTTAACCTGAAGGATGCTGTTGATGGGACTATTACCTTTCAAGACAACGCCAGGAACAGGGTTTACAAGCTGAATGATCAGATAGCTAAGTTGTTCGTCCGCCCAAGAGGTTGGCATCTACCTGAGGCACACATTCTGATTGATGGATTACCTGCAACTGGCTGCCTTGTGGACTTTGGCCTTTACTTTTACCACAACTATTCAGCATTCCGTCGGACTCAGGGTGCGGGGTTTGGGCCTTTCTTCTATCTCCCTAAGATGGAGCATCCAAGGTAATCTTTCATCTGACAAAATGAAGCAGCTAAATTGTCGAGTCATCATCACATAGAAGTTCTTATGCACTTAATTTTGAGAATAAACTGAAACCTTTTCGAAAGTTCACAGAAGGCATCAACTAATTCAACACATTATTTCAGCTTCAATTTCCCCTCTTCAAGAACTTGCACCTCAATTATAGTCATCGCTCGTCGGAAGGAGCCCTTGTGCAATGTTGTTTTAGAACTTGGTCATAACGCTATTTCACATTGAACTGAACATTGATACAAGATCTACGTTATTGGCAGGGAGGCTAAGATATGGAACTGTGTGTTTGAGAAAGCAGAGAAGATGGCAGGAATTGAAAGGGGAAGCATCAGGGCCACTGTCCTTATTGAAACTCTCCCGGCTGTCTTCCAAATGAATGAAATCCTCTATGAACTAAGGAATCACTCTGTTGGCTTGAACTGTGGAAGATGGGATTACATCTTCAGCTATGTCAAGACATTCCAGGCTCACCCAGATCGCCTGCTACCAGACAGGGTTCTAGTTGGCATGACTCAGCACTTCATGAAGAGTTACTCTGATCTCCTCATCTGGACATGCCATAGGCGCGGCGTGCACGCCATGGGTGGCATGGTATGTTCCAGTCGATCTCGTGCATCATATAAAGAAAAAACATATTTGTGCCAACTGCGGCTCTTAAAGTTTGGTAATTTCTTTCTTAATTATTAAACAGGCAGCTCAGATACCAATCAGAGATGATCCAGAGGCGAACAATTTGGCTCTGGAACTCGTGCGAAAGGACAAGCTAAGAGAGGTTCGAGCAGGACATGATGGAACATGGGCAGCCCACCCTGGACTTATCCCAACTTGCATGGAAGTCTTCTCAAACAACATGGGAAACGCACCAAACCAAATCCAATCCATGAAGCGTGAAGATGCATCAACCATAACAGAGGAAGACCTCTTACAGAGGCCAAGAGGGTCCCGTTCATTAGAAGGTCTCCGTCTAAACACCCGCGTAGGAATCCAGTACTTAGCAGCATGGCTAACTGGAACTGGCTCAGTACCTCTTTACAACCTCATGGAAGATGCTGCCACTGCAGAAATCAGCAGAGTTCAGAACTGGCAATGGCTTAAATACGGAGTGGAACTAGACGGAGACGGCCTTGGATTAAAAGTGAACACTGATCTGTTCGGGAAAGTGGTGGAAGAGGAAATCGCTAGGATTGAAAGAGAAGTTGGGAAAGAGAAGTTCAAAAAGGGAATGTATAAGGAGGCTTGCAAGATTTTCGCAAGGCAATGCACTGCACCTGCACTAGATGATTTTCTTACCCTGAATGCTTACAATAATATCGTCATCCATCACCCTAAGGGATCAGCCCGCCTCTAAATCACGAGTTTCACCACCTGTTTTTCATTTCCAGGGATTTGTGTGTGCCTGTGTGCTGCTATGCTACCGTTTGAATAATAATCCTTTGTCATTTCGTTTCTGTTTGAACCTAAGTTCCAGCCTTCACACATACTTAATTCCCTCAAAAAATTTATATACGTTCTTTAAGACATAGCTAGATATAATGCTTTACCTATTCTCTACCAGCCAGGCCGATTTACAATTATTACTATGATATTTTAGAAGAGGCCAAGACAAGTCCAAACTTCACAAAAAGAAAAGAATAATAAAAGAAAAAAGAAAAAGAGGGACGACAGCATATCATGGGGATGACAAGTCGTTAATAGAAGTAAATAAGCAGTATTTACTCTGTCGACGATGAGTTAGTGACGTTCAAATGCCAGCCCTGAGGGAAAGTTTTTGAACTTTTAGATCAGGAGAACAAGTGCGTCTGTTTCAATTTCAAAGGCAAAAAGTATCTTTCTTTAGGTTTTGCAGATGAAGTTATTTCAAAACTCTCACCCCATAGTTGCTTGATTCTCGGCCAATATTCTGATCAACATTAGAAGAAGTAGCTGAGAACTGCATGATGGAACTCGTATGCAGAAGCATGCTTCAAGTAGTTGTTAGAGAAAATCCATTAGGAAGACCAAAAGCTTGTAAGATGCATGATCTCACGCGGGAGCCAGCAATTTCATCACACCACACTGTTGTGATATATAAGATCGGAAAGAAGCAATTTAGGAGAATGGACCTCGTCGATTGTCAATTCAAGTCAAGGACTCAGAAATACAATATGGCAAGGGCATCTCACATTTTCGCCCTTTTTTTTTAATTATTATTATTATTATTATTTTTTTTTGTGTTTCTTGCAGACAAGACATCAAGCCGTTTCTTAAACAATCTATTTCATGGATTTAAAATTTAAGGGTGTTGGATCTAGAGAAACTGAACATCAGAAAACTGCCGAATTCAGCGTGGTCAATTTATTCAAATATTTAAGGTACCTGAACTTGACTGGAACCCAAGGTGGAGCTTGCTTCGCATATCGACTGGAAAACTTTGTTAATTTAGAAACACTGGATATCAAGGATACGAAAATTGAGGAGCTTCAATCTGGCATTGTGTTAAGTCATACTGTAATATGATTGATCTAAAACCTCATTTAATATGTTTATATGAATAAATTAATTAAAAAATAAATATTTATTTAAAGTAAGGAATGGTAATTTATACTTGCATAAAGAATAAATTAATGCATGTATAATTGTTATGGAATGTGATGAACTAATTGGAAGGTGAATGAATTAATTAGAACTCAAAATTAGAAGTTTTTTTTATATTAATTGTTTTGGTTATGCGTTAACCTAGGGGTGTTATTGCAAAACCTTAGGAACATAATTGCAACAATTAAAAGTCTTGAGTACTTAATTGAAATGATTAAGAAACTTAAGTGACTATTATGAGACTTAGAAAAATTTAGATTAAGGGTTAGATTGTGGGAAATTGAAAGGTTACGTACTGAAATTTAAAGACCCAATCGAACCAATTAAAAGTTTATGGGACTAAAGTGTAAAATTTTGGTGATTTTTGGTTAGAGAGGTTAATTCCAGCCAGAATTAGGCTAGAAAATGAAGAGAAAGAATGGCTAAAAATTCGGCCATGTGATAAAAAGGAAGGAAAAATATTTAATAAAAATGGAAAGGAATGGAAAAAATGAAGAAGAATGAAGAAAAAATCAAGAGAAAGGCATTAAATACATGGAATTAGGATAAAGCCAAGTGTACTACACTTGGCTAAATCCTAAATAATTTCATGTTTATAAATATGGTAAGAAGGAGAAAAAGAAAGGGTTAGAAAAAATGAAAATCCAAGATAACACCAAGGAAAATTCAAGCCATTTCAAGGAGAATTACACTAAAACACCACCCAAAATTATCTAAACCACCCTAAGCACATCCTAAAATCTACCTAAAACCACCTAGAAGAATCAAATAAAGAAGGAGGAAAAAATTGGAATTGGGGCGAATCTAGGAGGAAGAAAAGGAGGAGGATATCCATTAATCTTCCAAGGTAGAAGAAATATCAAGCTTCAATCAAGTAAGTGTAGTCCTTATTACACCACAAGAAACCTTTATTTTTATGTTTAATTATTTGTGATTTGATGCTTTAATGGTTATAAATTTATGATTCAATTATTGAAGTTGTTTGATTTGGATGAATTGGAGATGGAGTATGTTCTTGATGTTTGGAGGATTAACTCGAAATGAATTGATGGATTAAAGTTAGTACGTTTTTGTTGAAACATTTTAGCCTAACTTTAGGCTTTGGAGGAAATTAATGGTTTGTATGTATTGTGTTAATTAAGTGTTCATTACATGAATTAAGTATGTTTAGATGTGTTTAAATGAAAAATTAAGGTTAATTACCTTAGATGGAATTTTTTACCATAACCAAGAAGTTTAGGTTAATTGGTTTGATTGTTCTAATCCAAGTAAATTTGTTGATTAATTGTTTGATTGAAGAATTAGGGGTGGAACTTTGAGTTGAATTGGCAAATATATAGATGTTGTTCTCTAAAGGACAAAATTCGGCTTAACCTAATGGTTAAGGGTAAAGGGTTTGATTGATGTTTGTTTATGTTATTATGGTTTAAAAGAAATGAAATGGCATAAAATAGGTGATTAAATGGTGAAAATGATTTAGTTAGCTTATTTGAATAATTCAGCCATAGTTCCAAGTTGATGAATTTTGATGTTTGTTTTGCTTGGTTATTGATTCATGCTTATTTGAATTATTTGAAACATGTTTATGATTGATCATTTGTGTTACATGTTCTTTTGACTTGTTACATATGCATGATTAAGGTAACGAAATGAATTAATGGAAGTAAGCGATTAAAAGGAAAAATCCAACTTGGCATGGTAAAGGGATTAATTCAGTCGAGTGAAAAAATTAAGGATAACTCGCTTGATTTTATGAATGTGTAATGAATTAATGACAATTTACACGTTCATTTATTCATGAATGAGATTATGATTGATTTGTGTTTGGTTGAATATGATGGTTTGAATTGTCATTATTCAACCAAGTGTATGTTTTATGGTTGATGAGGTTTATTTGATGTATTGCTAAGTTTATGCATGCTTTAGTTTAATTGTTACATGTTATATTTGAAAATGTCATTTGCATGTACATTGATTAATTAAGCATGCATGATTATGGTAGACGCTAAGGGAATGCATTTCATTAGAATGCATTTTCATATTATTATCATGAAAATGATTTTATTACATGATTTTGATAAAAAAAGGAAAAGGAAAAGGAAAAGGAAAAGGACATATTTTCAAAGGAAATGGCTAGACACCTTTAAAAGGAAAAGGAAATGGCATGATTATGCAAAAGGCATGATCAACCTCTTATGAGGAAAATGAAAAAAAGAAGAAGAAAGAGGAATGCAATTTAAATTGATTCTTTCCTTTCATAAAAAATGAGGAAAAGGGAAGCTATTTAGTTTTTTTTTTTTTTTTTTTTTGTGATTTTTCACAAATTGCATGTTTTAAAAGAACGTCGATTATATACACAATCGGTAGGATGCGTTCGAAGAGAAAAATAAATTTCAAATGGCACGAAAAGGATTTTTGTAGCATCACTTGCATATATGCATGAACTACATTTATTGAGCATTTCTCATCTTAGTTTCTTGTGGTTTAGGTGATAAAAATGCTAAGTGTTGATTGTTGTCGAGGAGAAGCAATGACTTGCCATTATGTGTACTTAATAATTAATAGTGAGTGAGAAGGCCTTTTCTTTGCTTTTTCCATGTTTTGGACATAAGTACTAGTGCTAGGGTTAGCACTTTTGGCATGTAAAAGATAGTATAACTTACCTTGAAATTAGTAATTCAATAATTAAATTGATTTAATGGTTAGAAATTAATTGGCAAGAAGTAATTGGAATTAATTATTAAGGAATAAGGAATTTAAAGAATAAATGAATATATTGAATTTATTGGATGAGAATTAATTGAATTTAATTGATTAAGTTTAATTGGTACAATCTCAATTAATTGGAACCAATGTTCTTTAAACTTAAAAATGGTCTTTTTAGAGGATTAGTTCATGATTTAAGTTCCAATTAGATCAAAACAAGGTTTAATTAAATTAATTGATTGAATTTCTAATCTAAAGAATTTTTATGAAATTGAGATATTAATAGATTAAGTTGTAGAAAGATTTAATTAATGATCAACTAAAGTATGGAAAATTTAATATCTTCCAATTAAATTAATTATTTTATTATTAATTCGACTCTTAAGTGAAAATAATAGTAATTTAATATATATTTTAAGTCAATTAATTTAATAATGAATAGTTTTATTAATTTCAAATTTTATAAAACTTATTTAAGGAAAATTAAAGACACCAATTATCTTAAATTAATCCAAGATACTTTAATTAAATGTTTAAAATGAAAGTTGCAAATGTAAGTTTTTGGTCATATTTTGGATTTAAGAAGTCACTACATGTTATTAAAAGTATAGCTAGAAATGAATTTATTTTGGAAAATTTTTGGACCTAGTTTTTAATTAACGGTGGACCTAATTAATCTTAATTATCATGCACTCACTACAAAATACAATAGATGAATTGTAAAATTAAGGGAGGAGGCTTGATGTCTTACTTTTATTGCACTAGGAATGTAAGGCATTGTCAGTAATATCCTTGAATTATTAAGGTCCTAGATGGAGGGTGTTACACATACAAATTGCATATTTCCTATGCTGAAATTTTTTACACCGTAGTTTATTTATTTATTTTTTTTATTATAGATACTCGTCATATTTCTTATATTGTATTGATATGATCCTACTACAAGAGTTATGAAGTCATAAAAATATCTTTTATATTTCTTTCTTGTATAATTTACGTTAACGTGAGACTCACAGGGTGAATGTGGGGGAATGAGAGTCACCACTTAACTAATCAAGAAAAACTAAAAAACCCTAAACATATTAGTCCGCAAAGATATCTAGGTAAGGGATTAGTTACGTATGGAGAAGATATAACATCATCGCCATCCTATCTTACCTAAGGTAAGTTACATTGTTTGCATGCGAAAATAAAAATTTGATTTTTGAACATTATGTTTCTATGCTCGCTTGAATGAATTTATTTTATTAGGATGGAATCGAGTAATTCGAGGTTTAGGTCGATACCCATACTCGGAGGGTAACGGTAGAGAAAATTAGAATTTTGACTAATCTTTAACGAACACGACCTATATTGACAAATAGGTGAATTTCTAAAGATTGATATCCTTTTACTAACATGAATAGCGAGTTACCGACAACCTCACCCACATAAGCGAGAAGTTATCGACTACTTCGAGTTATGAATTTAAAAATTTATCAACAACTTCATCACATAAATAGAAAGCCACTAACAATTTCAACAACTTCATCACATATATTTGGCATTTCCCCGACAATTTCATCACATAAATTTATCAATAACTTCATTTTAGATAGTCAAAAATTAAGAAAAAACTAGTTTGGGAGCTACCGGCGGCTCCATCCACATAAATGGGAAGCCACCGGTAGCTTTATCTCGACAAACAAGTAATATGTAATAATTGATTAGAAGCCACAACCAGACTTTAACAACATAAGTAGGAAGCCACATATAACTTTGACTACATAAGTAGGAAGTCACCAATAGCTTCATTTTAGCAATTCAAAAATTAGATAAAAACTAGTTTGGGAACTACTTACAGACTCTATCCACATAAATGAAAAGCCACCAAGTAGCTTCATCTCATTAAATAAGTAATATATAATAATTGATTAGAAGTCACAAACAACTTTGACCACATAAGTAAGAAGCTATCAATAGCTTCGATCATATAAGTAGGAAGCCACTAACAACTTCACTTAAGCAAAAGAGGTAACATGTAATAATCATAACCATTTATAAAACAACATTTCATACTCATTTATCATTCAAAATAATTCATATGAATTTAAAAGTTACATAAGCATCGTGAAAACGTCGAGATTTCTTTTTCGCATTAGTTTGTTTCTTTTAAACTCAATAAGACTACTTGTTTCGGACAGTCGAGAAAGAGGAAACAACTATTA